CGGGCTCCCGCAGCCTCCGGGCCTTGAAATGCCAAAGTCGGGCTCGCCCTGCGCGCAGCTGGGACCACGCGGGGACGCGAGCGGTGCGGGGTCGTGTCCCGTGTTTTTCTGGATGTGCTGCCCATTAGTATGCAGCGTGCATCCTGCTGGTGCAAGGGAATACGTCGGCAGTGCCACATGTCCGAGTTAGTGTTGATGCAGAGCCCATAAATTACACTTGAGTGTTTGCTCTTCTGCCCCTGGTCTTGCTCTTGTGCTTGATTCTAGCTGAGGTTTTGTTTTCCGGGAAATGGAAATTCTGTCGAAATACTATTCTTTATCAATAGCACTGTTGTAAGGCTCCAGTGAGGTTTGAAGTGTGCATTTCTTTGAAATGCGTAAGGAGAAGGGTAGAAATACGGTGTCTCTTCCGACTCGGCTGTGCAGCTGACTTTAATGGCAGTAGCACATCAGTCTGTGTAGCCGTAGTTGCGTCCTCATAGTCCTTAAAAACAGAAATGCATTTCTGAATGAATTCATGATAGACCATAGGGTGACTGAGTTGAGTGAAAATCATGGCAAAATGGTAAGATCTGCAATTTATCGCTTCTCTTTGCCTCACCTCCTGTTTTGCCCCTGGAATTCTATTGTTCTTGATGTTTTAAGCTTTTTTTTTGTGGTTGGGTAAGTGGGGAAAGGTGGGGATTCTGCTACGCACGTTGTCTTTGATTTACGTTCTGCTTCTCTGAAACTGTTCTAGTAACAGCTGGATTGCAACCTTGAGAATAAGAGAATGAAAATATGCAGCAGTGTTACAAAGGAGGCTGGGATTCATTAGAGTCCTTCACTCTCAAGCCCAGATTCTGCAAATATTTAAGCACATGCAGTTTCACATGCCTGAGTTACCCACCGAGTTCCATGTGATTACAGCTTAATATCAAAACTGTTTGCAGTATCAGGAGCACAGAATAGGCTCGCCAAATCAGGTCAGAATTAGACTCTTCTTAGTTTTCTGCCTATAATGAAAAGTTTATTCAGCCATTTATGTTTCTTGGGAAAATATTCTTACAGAGATAAAGCACTGTTTGAAAAGGCTCTGTAACAACCTAGGCAGAGATTTGTCAGTGAGTATGGAAACCCTCCATAGTGTATTTGCAGCATGTTAAGTATGGCATAAATTGCACGCAAAGTCACAACCTCTTCATATGTAAACTAAACTGCAGTTGCAGTTCTTATAAATAACACTGAAAATCTCTTGTGTATGTATGAAATAAAAAAGAGTACGGGACTTTTCCCTTCCTAAATGTAAATGAACAAAATGCATTTTATCTGTTATTTAATAAGGGAATAGTTCTTAGATGTGTATCTGTATCTCTAGATCCATTGCATATATGATGTCCCGGTCAAAAGAATTGTATTTTTTTCCTGGAAAAATAGTCTCAAACAATGAAATTTTTTTGTGCACCCTTAGTGCAATGTTCCAGAATTCTCAGTACACCTTTTAATGAAAGTCTCTGTGGTAGGTACCAACAGTGACTTTCTGGAAAGTTTATCTTGGCTGCATGAAAAAGACCCTTATTCACTCATTTTTGGAGGTATGCTAGGACTAACATTCTGTTTCCTTTCATGTGTAAATTAAAGCATTATAAAATCCACAGGGAAAATATAAATTTGTAGGGCTAAATTAAATCACTGGCCTCACACAGCGAGAACTGAAAATATAAAAAAGCTTTGTACCTTTCCAGATGTAGGACTCAGTTCTGCAAACCTAGGCATGGGACTGGCTTCACCCATGGAAGTAATTCATGGAGAGATCCGTAGAACTTGTCACTGGAATTCTAATATTCATATGCTTATGCTTTTGAAGAATGATATCCCAGAGAGGGAATTTATACATAATTTCATAGAGTTTTAACTTATGCTGCTGTAGAGCAGCACTTGCATATGATCCTTAGTATTGTGTTTGACCTCAAATTTACTAATGCCTCTGCTGCTAGCTGTTGAATTTATTGAAAGAAATCTGGATATTTGTAATACTTGGTTACCAGTGGTTAACACTGTTTATGTGTTATGAGTACAGGACCGCAAGGAACAGGAGTGTATTTTATGCAGTTGTGAGGAATGGTGTTCACAGTGAATTTATGCCAGACATATAGGAATGGTGCAGAAGAAGCTAATGGAAAGTGCAGGGTCAGTTTTGAGTAAATACTTTATCAGGAAGATTATTTTATAAAGTTGAAATTTAAGGAAGATTTATTGTCATTCTTTATGTAAAACTTTATGCTGTGATTATTTAGTATCTGCAGTTAATGCAGTGGCAGTGCTTCACAGCGCGCCAAGTCTACACAGGATTTTTTATTCTAAATCAAGGCAAAAAGGACTCTCTTTCTAAAAGAGGTAATCCCGAGTTACCCTGATTGTAGGTTATACCACAATGTACTATGCTCCAGCATAATTTTATTTTGAGAAATATATTGTGACTTCATGCCCTAGTCTTTGGAATTCACACCGAAGTTTTGATAGGTGTGGATCTTGGATGCTCACAGATTTGAACAGTGATAGCCAAAGCCAAAAGGAACCTATTAAAGCAGAGGCAGAACTGGATTCTTACTGGAGATAGGATTGGTAAATTCCCTGAAACTTCAAAAAAAGGAGGTGGGGAGGAAGAAAGTGCTAGGAGTGAAATTTGTCAGGCCCCATTTGATCAGGGGTATTTGAAATGACTGTTGATATTTCAGTCTGTGGACAGTAGGTCTACTTCTTCCTTGTGAGAAGAGATTTTGCATTACTTTACTGAGCAGTGCTAAAGCTGGTTTAGGTGTCTGCAGGGAATACCTCTTTAACATAGAGCAGTGTAATGTCATACATTATGCTTCTTTGTATGATACTATCGATAATTCACAGTTATCTTCAGGTTGCCTTTGGTAATAGAGACAAACCTGTGTGTTCAGCTGTATGCTTGCATCTTGGTGAAGTTTGACTTGTATTCTGAAAATGAGTTTTAAACAAATAACAGCACGTTTTTCAGGTTGGATTGCCCGCTTCGTACTGTTCTATAGTTACTATATATATATATATACACACACACATACATATATATATATATATAGTTTTTAAAAGAGCAAATAAACTGTTATCGTAGTGGACCTGACGAATAATGAAATTAACATACAGTTTCTTAATGTAATAATGTTAGTATCTTAACATTTGCTGCTGTCATATAACCCCAAAGTGATTATCATGCTTCAGCGCAGGGTTGTTTTGCATTCACATGAACACAGACCAACTGGGATAGCAAGGAATGTGTTAGGATTTACTTATTTTTTCTTGTCTCTAGTCTAACTAGGGTTTTAAAAATGAAAGCCACAATTTATACAACTGTAAGAGCTGGTCCCACTGTTAATGAAAGGTGAGGAAGAATCCCAGGTGAAGTACAGGTATCTCTTTATTGCTCAGTCAAGCCTGATTGAGTGATCAATAAAATGAACATTCTTTTTGTGCCAGAGCAGCCGTGCTCAATTATTCTGTGAGGTTTCTGCAGAGCAGGGCAGGTTCACTTAGAGCCCCTCTCAGTGCTGGCGGGTGTCTTTTTGTCTGATCAAGTCTTGCATTTAGTGGAATTTAGATCTGATGAACCGGAGATCTGTTGAAACAACATGACAGGTTTTCGGTGGGCTTCAGTCATGGACCTACTGCTTTTTGTCTTTTCTTTCATGGTGTGTTGTAATGTACTGTTGTATATTGGTACAGTGAGTTTGATAAAAGCTATGTCTGTGTAAGGTGAATAGGAGGTAAATCTTAGGCATAGTTTTAAACAGTTCTTTTGAAAGTTGTATGCATTATGCAAACAAGAAATACTTCTAACTGGTGAAGTGGAGATATTAGGAACCAAGGGCTAGATAAACATAAAATAAATGGAAATATTTATTCCAACTCTAATGAGCATGAATTGGACATTAAAGCGGTAGTAGAGTAAGGTAGCAGTATCCAAGGTGTGCTGATTTTTGCTTCCAGATGTTTTCTTCTTGCAATGTTAGCCACCAGCACTAGTGCAAGTTCAATACTTGTAACAGGTATCTGTTGCTGTTACAGACAGAGGCAAACTTGAAACCCAGCCTGTAAGAAAACTAATGCAGTGTTGCACCGATTGAAATTTTGTAGGTGGTGACAGTGGATTGGATGGGTTAGGAGGACCAGGAGTGCAACTTGGAAGCCCTGATAAGAAAAAGCGCAAAGCAAATACACAGGTAAATTCCCTTTGGTTCTCTTGATTTTGTAATAAACAGTGCACTCGCGTGTTGTTTGTGGCCTCTCGCATTGTTCGGAATATCAGTCTGTTCTCACGAATAGCAGTTACATGCAAAATACTTCAGTTGTATTGTCAAGTTAAAATCTTTAGAATACTAGTTATTCTCACTGAAGTTATTTTAATCTCTGTAGGTTGCCAAAGACCTATAAAGAGAGGAGCACAGTGAGACTGCAGTAACTTGTATTTTAGCATATGGATTTGATTCAGAGGCAGGCTTTCTTTTAATGACTTTGTAGCCATTGGTGGAAATCTATACAGCATGAGTAGTTGCCATGAGACTACTTTTCTTCTTCCTTGTATTCCTATAGATGTAGGTTTGTGGGCTAATGCATCAGTACAGTTTCTTAATGCTTTGAGCAAACTCTTGGCATATTCCCCAAGTGATTTTCAAGTAAAAGCTGTGAGGCAGGTTCAGCTCCTTTCCAGTGAATCTGTGCAATCTGGCGATTCTATACAGTTTCTGTTTCCAGGAAAGGAAGCCTGAGTACAAATCATCTAAAGCAAGTAGATAGCTGTAGTGTAGAATTTTCCTTTGTGTGCTCATTCAGCTTTGAGTGAGAGTATCTATTAATTTGGCACTGCCCGGTGAGAGTGATTTAACTTTCTGTTAGGACTGTCCAGGTTCCATTGAGATGTGGATCTGTTTTCTCGATTTTTATTGTTTTAAAGTAGTCATAGTGAAACTTGCTCTGAGAAACATTCAGTAAATTTAAGGGTTTCAGACCCCTTTCTTGGTGGAGCTTCCTTTGCACTGTGAAATGGTGATAACTGTAGAGGGAATGCTGATTAGTTTCCTCTTTTTTTACCAGGTTCAAAATCTGCAGCACAGCAGATGTTATTTATGTCTTTATGTATTCATTTTGTGGGGGGGGGGGGGGGAGGGAAGGAGAAAGTTTAATCTTAGTTTATTAGTATTTGGAGGAAATTGTTTCTGTGAGCACAGTTAGTGTGAGAGCGAACCAGGTAGATGTTCCTCTCAGGCTAGTCTAGTATGAAATTCAATTGCATAGCCACTCTGATGACATTTAAACAGCCTCTGGGCTCTATTAAACACTTAATTATGCTCTGTCACCAGAAATTCTTCTGTTGTATACCCACTGACTATGCTTTGCAGAATTCCCCAATCACTGAATGCTCATAAGGGTTTGGTATACAGAGAATTCCTATATACGAACTCCTATATTCTATATACCTTTTTTAGGGTTATAGTAACATTAGGTTTGTATATCCTCATAGAAATGGGCTGTCTTAAGAGATGTATATTCAGTAAAATGAACCCAAAATGCAGCTAAAGTAAATGCTTCAAAGCTGCTCTTGTACCATTTGGAAATATTTTGTGCATGTGTTTAAGTGACACATGGCTTTCTGTATTGTTGCTTTTCTTATGTAAAAGATTAAGAAGTAGAAGTTACATATCAAGTAGTATTTTCAGAAGCACGGTTGTGTAACTGCACAGTTTTTAAACCACTGAGATTACTATAAATCACCATATTCTCCAGAGCCCAAACTCTTCTCTTGCCTCTGTGCTGAAATTTCATACAGCCTGGCAGGGTACAGTGGGTGAGCTTTATGCAACAGCTGAACAGTTCTTTTAGCACTGGTGCTAATCTAGGACCTTTTGTGGTTGGTCTGTCTTGCAGGGAAAGACTAAAACTAATTTAAATGTTGTATTTAAAATATTTTTAGGGATCATCATTTCCTCCTCCATCTGAATATGCTCCACCGCCGAATCCAAGCTCTGACCACCTTGTAGCTGCAAATCCTTTTGATGACAACTATAATACTGTGTCTTATAAACCACTTCCTTCAGGAAATCCATATTTTAGTAATCCTGGTTATCCTGGCTTTGGAGGCTATAACACTTTCAGAATGCCACCTCACATGCTGCCCAGAGTGTCCTCACCATATGGTGGTTCTTACTCCCTCAGAAACCAACCACATCCCCTTCCTCAAAACCCAGTGGGAATGGGTTTTAGTCGACCCCACTCTTTCAGCTTTGGTCCACATGATAACCCAGGCTTTGGGAATCAACCACCTTATAGCAGTGGTCAGATAAATCAGAATGTCAGTATGCCTGGTCAGCATTTCAGACCAAATCCTGGTGAGAACTTTGGCCATTCTGGTCAGGTACCTCACCCTGATGTGCCATCTAACTTTGGTCCTGGAAACAATCCAAATTTCCCAAATTCTCAGCTAGAGTCAAACCATTCTTTTGTTCCTCCACCGAACACTTACAACCAGACAAAATCATCCGCACAAAAGCAAGACTTTAGTCAAGGTGCGAGCAAAGCATCCAACCAGAACACTACTGCTCATCAGCATCATCACAGGCCAGAGGACATTGTGAGTCAAGGTAACAGCGACCTAAAATCTGTTACTCGAAACAATGTGGTAAACCAGGATAATAGCCATTCCAATAGTGCTGATAACACTAATGCTGGGCACTCAAATGGGACTCAGAGTAAGTCCCGCCAGCCTCGAGGTGCTGCTGAAGGATGCAACTCTGAAAAGAGCAGCAAAACACCCCTTCATCCCAGTCGTCATGGTCACTCGTCCTCTGAGCCCGTCTATCCATGTGGAATTTGTACACATGAAGTCAATGATGACCAGGATGCCATCCTGTGTGAAGCCTCTTGTCAAAAATGGTTTCATCGGATCTGTACAGGCATGACTGAGTCAGCTTATGGCCTTCTTACAGCAGAAGCATCAGCAGTGTGGGGTTGTGATACTTGCATGGCTGACAAAGATGTCCAGTTAATGCGTACAAGAGAGACTGCAGGGCCGCCTGCGCTGAATACAGATGGCTAACAATGTGAATTGGTGGTAGTGGTTGAAATACTTGCTGTGAAGATTTGGTTACGAATTGGGCACTTCACTTTCTGCAGACAATCAGTTGTGTTTGATTGCTGTCATCTTTTTTTTCTTCCCTGATCTGTTTTCATTCATAAACTTCCATCTCAGCTTTTGTGTGTGCAAATGTTTTACAGGATGGATCTTTTTCGTTTTGTTTCTGATTAAACTGTAAAATATAACTGACCACTGATCATAAGTAGGATGTGCATTGACAATTTTATCGAAGGCAAAAATGTGCCTGCATGAATAGCCCCTAATTTGCTAGTGTTAATGTGTTTACTAACACTGGCATTTAGTGCTCGGTTTTAATGGTACTATATTTGCAAGTACTCATTAGATTTTGTTTTTGGGGGGTGAATGTTCATTACTGATGGTTTTGCTGTCATTTCTTTGAATACAGTGGAGATGACATGGAGGAATGTGCAGTATTAGTAGTTTTTGTTTTGGGGAAAAATCTCTGTTTACGGAGATTTTCACATGTGCTTTTTCTTATTTTTGAAGTAACGTACTAGTCAAAAACTGATGGCTTCATGCTTACTAGTAACATAATGAAACCTGCTAACTCTCTAATACAAAAGCTGAAAAGTCAGTTGTTTCTGTGACTTCTCAGCAAATGCTTGCTGAAGACTCTTGCTAGGTCTTGCAGTGTTTGGAAATAGTTACAAAGTATGATGATTACATTGGAAAAAGAACACATCAAGTTCATGAAGTCCAGTGCTTTAAATCTAGAGAATACCAAAACTAGGGTTGCATATGTAACCTTAATTCATTTATCTTAAGCACATACATTAGGATACAGTCTCTGCATCTGTCACGAGTGTGCAGTCATGCATTTCTCTCATCCTTTCTTGTTGATGGTTCTACTCTCTGCCCCAGTGCTGCCTGAGAACTGTGAATGAACTAGTGCAGGGAAAGCCTCTGGCTCTTCCTCAAGGACTTTCAGCTGGGCCTGCTCAGTTGTCCTGAGCTTACACAGTCCGCTTGGCATAAAGGAGCGTGCAAGGCAATGGAGTGTGCTCAGCACAGGCTCTGCATTAAAAGGTAGTGTGGCCAGCAAAGTAAAACTGAATTCCTGCCACGGCCTCAGCCAGCCTTGCAGTGAGGGGGTGAAATAAAATAAAGCTTTTGCATTAGGTGAGTTTAGCTTGTGTCAGGAGCAAGTAATCAGTTTGGCTTCTTTGCTGAACTTGGTATTCTACTGACAAGTATGAATGGCACTAGAGCTTCAGGTGTGATACTTAGAATTGTATTTTAATATGGGTAATTTGATCTTATTCTTGATCTCAAAAAAAAAGTTTGGTTTTTTTTTCCATGTGGGGAACATCTAGCCTTGAAGACTTCAACCTTAGCAGTGTGATAAAGTTGCATGTGCAACTGGAAATCAGTGTTTCTGTAGAGATAAGTGGTGGTTTAACTTAATAAAAAGTGGCACTGTAATAACAGACTCTGATTGTAATACCACTGTGCTGGAAACTTTTAGTTTTTAAACAGTCAGCATTTAAATCATGTGTCAGGCATTACAGGCATTAGTCATGTTCCTTAATGTGATAAATTGTTCAGGTTTGTGGTGATGAATGATGTAGGAGCCTCTGTGGAATACAGTCATCTGTATAAAGAGGTAGTTTTTATGGTAAGCTATGCTAATGAGTGAAAAGTGAGGCTTGTTTGCTAGTTCACCGTTGGTTTTGATTTTAAATGGGCTCTACTGTGGTACTTTCCTAGAAGACACTGTGCAGATCCACATAACTGTCTTTGTTTTACTTTAAAAGTGAAAAGGTTTATATACTCTTTTACCAGAGAAGTGCAGATTTCCCTCCTTTTTTGTCTTGCCTCTCGTTAGGAAAAAGGCAATTAATGTCTAAAGTGTAAATGACACAATTCATACTGTGAGGATTTCCTGTATGGAGATGTAAAGAAAGCATAAGGCAGATTCAGGGCTTCTGCTTTCATCACTATTTGCTTTATTTAGTACAGAGCCTAAACTTAATTTTGTTGTTAGAGGTGTGATACTTAAAACCAAACAACAAAGAACCAACAAGCATCGACAGGCAACAATCTAACCTCTGTTAGGCTTATTCTTCAGTAGTTTTCCTAATGACTGACTGACTGTTAGAATTTACTTTTTGTACCTATAGTAGATAGTAAACCAAACCTTGTTTAGATAGATATGTTCCTCTGGGACTCAATTTAATCTCTGCAAAAAATTGCACTCAGAAGAGAGTGGAGCTGGTTTAGAACTACAGCAGTGTAAATGAAATAAAAACATTGCCCTCCCTGAAAATCCAACACAAGCTCCAATGATGCTGTCGTTACCCAAGCGTGATGTTCACAATACCTTCCCCTCTCCCAAACCCCATTCCTGTTGTGGGAAGGTGATTGGGGCATTTGTTCTCAGAAGTCCAGTTAATGTTTTAACATTTTGGAGCAGACATTGTATCTAAGATAACCATGTATTTCTTAATCTCTTCCTCAACCCTACACAAAGTTAGGCAAGTGTTTTCTGTGTTAGGTAGCAAGACAGTGGAATTGAAATGTAATGTTCTTACAAACTTAAAATCAACTGGAATATCATCTTAAAAGGCCTTAAATTGTGTATTTGTGAAACTTAGAATAACAGTTCATTTCAGTTTTTCTAAACTGGTACTATGTTGGGTTTGTAACCCAGTAAATTTTCTGTGTTTATTAACCTATAAATACAAAGCATTAGCAAATGCCAATTATACGAAGTAAAAACAAATGAACAAGAAAACCAGACTTGTTACTACGCTGATGACAGAGATATGGCTGATCAGGATCTCCAGAAGTCATCCACAGCCAGTGTGCTTGCCCTGCTGGTACGTGCTTGGCATACCTGGACTCTGTCTAGAGAGAGGGTTATACTTCGTTTCTCTCTGCATGTATTTACTAGTAGTAGTTCAAGTATGCGCAGGATAAACAACAATCATGTTTTGTTAGTAAGGTACTAGGAAAATGTCAGCTGGTTAGAATTAGAAATTAGTTATAGAAGGGTGGGTGGGAGGGAGGGTTGATTAGAATAGGTGAGGTTTTTTGTAATACTCTACATGAAACAATTTGTATTGAACTATCATGTGCTTCTTTCATTACTAGTGATTTAGGCTGTACTGGTGCTGCACACCAAAAATATTGCAAAGATTTTGTAAATCTTACAAACCTTAACATTTTTATGCGAAATGCCTGCGTCCTTTTTAAATAGCTCTTTGTCGTGGTCAGAAACGAGCCCATACTGCCCAAAATGTTCTCCCCTCCCTCAGGCTGAAATAAATAGGTACAAACTGTCCTTAATACTTAGGGTTTTTTTGCCAGAGACCGATTTTAAATGACAAAATACATAATTTGCTCTTTAAAATCCTTGTTTTATTGTTGTCAGGCTAAGTGACAGTAATGCGCATAGGCTAGAGGGTAGATGTCAAAAGTCCTGTTTCTGGCTGTTTTACCGATCCCTTCTACAACTTGAGCCAAGCAGGTTGGTTGGTTGTGCCTCAATTTCTGCCTTCAGAAGATCAGGCTGATGCTTACTTGCCAAGGTTGTTCAGAGGCCTAGTTTTATTTGGGATCTTCAAATGAAAGAGCACAGAGAAAAGTAATAAAGTTACTATTTAAAACAAAAACATGATTTTGGGGGCTGCTTATAGAAATACGTACATTGGGACCTCTCAAGTTTTTCATCTAAGAACCAGTTTTGTAATCACACTTTTCAGGCTTGACTTCTAGCCTGTGAGAACTAGTTCTCTAGTGAGAGCTAGCAGTCAGTGGAACTGCATGCACACATCAGGAACGTTTCAAAGTGTTTGCAGTTTGGGGCCTATGATATTTGCAAGTGAAATGCTTTGTGTGGTTTGAGATTTTTACAAAATCAGTGGTGTTCAAATGTAGCACCTTTTAAACATTTGTCTTCATTCCAACTTAATACAATAACACATCTGCATTAAATATATCCCTTTCATTTTATAAATAAACATTGCCTGGCAGTAAAAGTATTGGTGTAACTTTTTCAAATAAGGAAGTCATGCTTCTTATCATGTTGTATGTGACTTAAATGACTGTTTCATATTAAAACTAATCTTCCCTTATGTACTGCTTAAATATACCTGTTTTAGGATATCAGTTCAGTACTTTTTATACAATCTTGAATGTGTTCCACATTGGTGACATGTATTTTTGCAACAACTTTTTTGTTTCAATTTTAAATTAGAGCATGTCTGAAGTAATACATGCATTAGTGCTGTGGTGTGTGGCAAAGTTAATGTATGTAATTCAAATTGGAAAGAAGTTTCCAGACTTTGTCCAACATTAACCCTGTGGCCAGGGATTAAATTACTATGTAATACAAATTATTTCATACCATGATGTGTTTTAAGCTACTCTATGAAGTATGTGAAACATTATTGTTTATGGATTGGTAGCTGGTGTGGTATCTTGCATAGAATGAGGTATGATAGATGGTAGCAATTCATGATAATTAAACTGACTACCTTTCAGAACACGCAGCACTTATGTGCGTTGTCATCTTGTTGCCACAACTGTTAGTATGAGTTTCATATTATTATCCTCTGACAAATGGGTGAACATCTGGTCGTACGCTCATGGGTGTGAAAACTCTATTCTAACACTCTTTACTTGGTTTACAAAACATGCCATTTTTTATCTATTGGATGTGATTAGATGTATGCAGGAGGATGTAGAACTGGATGTATTTTAAAGTTTTTCTGCAATTACTAAGTTTTGTCTGAAGCTTTCTATATTAGAATAGACTCTTCCTTAAAATTGGAAAATTAAGTGTACTTAGCAGAACTCTTAAGGCAATATAACTGTCCTACACTACATCTTGAGTTATGCACATTCACTTCTTTGTATGGAACTCCTCTGATTTCTCATGGGCTTAAGTTTTACATGGAAATAAAAGATCCCATTAGTGCTCTAGTGGTGTGTGTCATCAGTTCTGAGGTGATGAATTCTAAATGGTGTTCAGCCCCTTAGAGGTGCTGCCTCTAGCTTAAAGTATTCAATATCGCCCTTAGCTTCCAGGTTCAGAAATGTCTTATCCCAGCATCACAGGAAATCCCTATTTTTGTATTGTTTGCCATATATGATTAGTTTTCCTTCTCATGTTCAAACAAACTTTCTAAACCCCAGCTTTTTACTCAAAGGTTTGTGCACTGTAATTCAGGAATTGCTGTATTTGAGACAGTTTGGGATTGGAGTCATGAGAGATGTTGTGTCTGTTTCTAGGCACTCATCTTCTGAACTTCTATATAGCTTAAGGAGGGCAAGCTTTTCATATGTTCTTCTAGTTTGTTGTTGTTCCTTTCTTGGTAGTTTGTTTATGGTTGTTTTTTTCTGATACGTGAAATAATACAGAGTTGTTGAGGAATTTTTACTTATAAGACAGCTTCTCCTCCAAGCTTTTGTATATGGCCTTCAGA